CACACACACACACACACACATACACATACACACACACTCTCACACACACACACACACACACATACACACACACACACATACACACACACTCCAGCGTCAGCAGCGATGAACTCTGCAGGAACTTCTCTCTGAAATCTCATCACTTTTTGTAATATGCATCACTTCAAAGCAGCTTTACATAAATCATGATGTTAATTCCTATAATATATTAACATCTTCATGCCTAATTAGAGCTATAATAATATATATATATAATATAATATCGATACATTTTGTGATGATATAAACAATCAAGCAGTTGACTCCTGCTGTATAGTGGATCGCTTTCCGAGAGTTAACTGTGTGCACTGCTGTTCAAACCTTTGGGATCAGTACGATTTGTAATGTTTCTTAAGGATTCTCTTCTGCTCAGCAAGCCTGCATTTATGTGATCAAAAATACAGAAAAAAGCAGTAATATTGTGAAATATTATTCTAATGTAAAACAGCTGTTTTCTATGTGAATCTCAAGGCAAGCTAAAGTAAATGCAGGCTTGCTGAGCAGAAGAGAGGTTTGTGCAGATTATAACAGACTGCGAGAGTGTGAAGCGTAATTATGCGTCACTGACAGTTAAATGATGCATATTAATGACAGGGTTAAAGCTTCGGTCATACACACGGACAGCAGTTTAACTGTAGTTATGGAACAATATTTATGTCACAATTACTGATTAATCGACTGATAGCGGTTATTTGATCTAATCACAATTGTTTCAATTTCAATCTGTTTGCCATACATATTAGTTAGTTAGAAAGCAGTCTGTAAGTAGCCTCTGATGAAGTGTTTTATGTAGTTGTAAAGCCATGTTAAAATGAAGCATGATTATGATCTGCAGGCAGAGAAACTAGCAGAAATCTAGATGATCTGACCTAGCTGGAGATGACCCAAACACAGCTGTGTAACGCATCACTAACCAACACACCATTGTTTGTAGCACGATACCGCGGTATTATCGCGATCATAACCACGGTGTTCAGTGAAGCTCTGTTTGCGTGAACACAGTTCTCTTCAGTGCTAGTGTGTTTACACTCATCTCCCTCAGTTTACCACGGTATTAGCATCTGATAGCGGGTCACGTGACCCTCCGTTTATGAACCACATTAAACATAAAGCTGACGGTATATTCATAAACTCACATCTGTCCGTGTCCTCCTGCAAGTCCTGCAGCAGAGAGAGATCTGGAGAAAACAACACAATCAGAGAGAGAGAGAGAGAGTGTGTGTGTGTGTGTGTGTGTGTGTGTGTGTGTGAGTGTGTGCAGCTCTACACACCCGCCATCCTGCGCCGCTTCTACATTTAAGCCGCTTCTGTGCTGATGACCAACACAACTACACAAACTACACAAACTACACAAACTACACACACTACACACAAACACAAAAACGCGCGCCTCGGAGCACTGCCTTTAACACGCACGCGCTGACGGCAGCCTCTAGAGCGCGCACGCACGGAGCGTCACGGCGCATGCGCAGTGAACTCTTATTTATTTACATTATTTAAAGACTTAAGCCGCTGATGACAGCAACAGTGTTTTAACTGTAATCTAAGAAAAAAACTTCACCGCGAATATTAATGGTTCTGGTATTGAGAAAATAATTGCGACGTCGCTAAATGACTAAATGTAAATGCATTTCAAGATAAAAGTAATATAGTATTACTGTAGTACACAGTATTGCCATTCTATTTTCACTCAGAATAAAGATGATAATAGTAAATATATTGTAAAATGCATTATGAATCACTTAAAGGTAAATATATGAATAACAAACCTGTTTTATTTTTTTTTTATAAAAGCGCGAGGCAGCAATTCTCCCTTCATTTATTTATTTATTTACTTACTTTTGTTTTAAGGATTTCTTAAACTTATTATTTAAATTTTTAATGCATTTAATTTTATT